TACACGTCCGTTTTTACTTACATTTACACGTCCGTTTTTACTTACATATACACGTCCGTTTTTACTTACATATACACGTCCGTTTTTACTTACATTTACGTCGTTTTACTTACATTTACACGTCTTTTTTTACTTAAATTTACACGTCCGTTTTACTTACATTTACACTTCGTTTTTACTTACATTACACGTCGTTTTACTTACATTTACACGTCCGTTTTTACTTACATTTACACGTCCGTTTTTACTTACATTTACACGTCCGTTTTTACTTACATATACACGTCCGTTTTTACTTACATTTACACCTCTGTTTTTACTTAAATTTACACGTCCGTTGTACTTACATTTACACGTCGTTTTTACTTACATTTACACGTCGTTTTTACTTACATTTACACGTCGTTTTACTTACATTACACGTCCGTTTTTACTTACATTACACGTCTGTTTTTACTTAAATTTACACGTCGTTTTTACTTACATTTACACCTCCGTTTTTACATTTACACGTCGTTTTACTTACATTTACACGTCCGTTTTTACTTACACGTCCGTTTTTTCTTACATTACACGTCGTTTTACTTAGATTTACGTCGTTTTTACTTACATTTACACGTCGTTTTACTTACATTTACACGTCCTTTTTTACTTGCATTACACGTCTGTTTTTACTTACATTACACGTCTGTTTTTACTTACATTACACGTCCGTTTTTACTTACATTACACGTCTGTTTTTACTTACATTACACGTCTGTTTTTACTTACATTTACACGTCGTTTTACTTACATTTACACGTCGTTTTACTTACATTTACACGTCTGTTTTTACTTACATTACACGTCTGTTTTTACTTAAATTTACACGTCGTTTTTACTTACATTTACACCTCCGTTTTTACATTTACACATCCGTTTTTACTTACATTTACACGTTGTTTTTATTTACATTACACGTCGTTTTTACTTACATTTACACGTCCGTTTTTACTTACATTTACACGTCCGTTTTTACTTACATTACACGTCATTTTTACTTACATTACACGTCGTTTTTACTTACACGTCCGTTTTTACTTACATTACACGTCGTTTTACTTACATTTACGTCGTTTTACTTACATTTACGTCGTTTTACTTACATTTACACGTCCGTTTTTACTTACATTACACGTCCGTTTTTACTTACATTACATGTCTGTTTTTACTTACATTACACGTCTGTTTTTACTTACATTTACACATCGTTTTTACTTAAATTTACACGTCGTTTTACTTACATTTACACGTCCGTTTTTACTTACATTTACACGTCCG